TATTTTTCGATGAAAGGTGTCAGAAACGGGCAAAAAAATTTTCCCACGGTCTGTTATGAGGAGAAGCCAACCGCTTGCATTGTGATGCATTATGGGTGCGGAGGCGCGAAATCTAAAAAGAAAACACCTTGCATTTATTCAGGTCAGGAGTACAAGTAGGGCGTATTTATGGAAACGATCACGAACATTGGTGGGCTCATATTGCCGGAAACACCAGGAAACGGAAGGCATAGAGGTTTGTTTGAATTAAAATACTACGCTCGTTATCGCATAGATCAGCTACGCCGAAACCGTTGAGGTAAAGCTTGTGTCCTTTCTGCGTAAAGCGTGCGTCCGCGACTGACGCAACCGGGGCCGCTTGGAGGTCGCTTAGGCGGGGGTATATATAGCCGAAAGCAAGTGTTATCTTTTTATTGCTTCGAACTCTGACGCTAAGCCTAACGCGTTTTTAGCACGTTTTAAAGTTCAAAAGGAAAGGTGATAAAAGGTATATAGTCGCGATCGGCTATATATAGCCCTCACAATGCGACCTACGGCTTGTGCCGGATTGAAGCATATATAGAGCAAGCTCACGCAAAGAATATACAAGTAGCATGATGAAGCCTAGCCGTTATTACACTGCGCAATTATTAGCACAGTACCTTTAATTAAACACCTCTCCACAGAGCCCCCAGATTGATTAATTTCACTGTGTGAATCTTCGTAGATTGAGCTTGAAAGCGGGAAATTCAAACTGCACAACGCTGTCTTGTTCATTTTTCGATGAAAGGTGTCAGAAACGGGCAAAAAAATTTTCCCACGGTCTGTTATCAGGAGAAGCCAACCGCTTGCATTGTGATGCATTATGGGTGCGGTGGCGCGAAATTTAAAAAGAAAAAACCTTGCATTTATTCAGGTCAGGAGTACAAGTAGGGCGTATTTATGGAAACGATCACGAACATTGGTGGGCTCATATTGCCGGAAACACTAGGAAAAGGGAGACATAGAGGTTTGTTTGAATTAAAATACTACGCTCGTTATCGCATAGATCAGCTACGCCGAAACCGTTGAGGTAAAGCTTGTGTCCTTTCTGCGTAAAGCGTGCGTCCGCGACTGACGCAACCGGGGCCGCTTGGAGGTCGCTTAGGCGGGGGTATATATAGCCGAAAGCAAGTATTATCTTTTTATTGCTTCGAACTCTGACGCTAAGCCTAACGCGTTTTTAGCACGTTTTATTGTTCAAAAGGAAAAGTGATAAAAGGTATATAGTCGCGATCGGCTATATATAGCCCTCACTAAGCGACCTCCGGCTTGTGCCGGCTTGAAGCATATATATAGAGCAAGCTCACGCAAAGAATATACAAGCAGCATGATAACGGCGTAGTCGTTGTTACACAACGCAATTATCAGCACAGTACCTTTAACTAAACACACCTTTACAGGGTCCTTATATTGATTAATTCCACTGTGTGAATCTCCGTAGATTGGGCTTGAAAGCGGGAAATTCAAATTGCACAACGCTCTCTTGTTCATTTTTCGACGAAAGGTGTCAGAAACGGGCAAAAAAATTTTCACACGGTCTGTTATGAGGAGAAGCCAACCGCTTGCATTGTGATGCATTATGGGTGCGGTGGCGCGAAATTTAAGAAGAAAAAACCTTGCATTTATTCGGTACGTACCGTACCAAGAATCGCAACCAAGTACGCAGTTAGCTCCATAAACCCTCGGTGTGCCCTGAGACAAAAGATTGGGCTTATCGGGACTGATGAGACCATCACCTCTTTCCATTGGTTTTCCGCTTGCTGTAGTGGCCCCACCTATACCCACCAAAGGCCATAGCCATCAAAGTGATAGTACCTAACATTTTGGCTAGGTGGCGCTACTGGCCGCTTGATCTAAAGGTTTCAGCGGGCTCTTCCATCGATCACACCTGCCACTTCGGTGGCTCTACCTAGCGCCAACAACGGTGCACGGTGGAACGAAAGCAGGGGCACTCGCTCTCAAGGAGCATCGCCATCTGAACAGGTCAGGAGTACAAGTAGGGCGTATTTATGGAAACGATCACGAACATTAGTGGGCTCATATTGCCGGAAACACCCGGAAACGGGAGACATAGAGGTTTGTTTGAATTAAAGTACTACGCTCGTTATCGCATAGATCGCTACGCCGAAACCGTTGAGGAAAACCTTGTGTCTTACTGCGTAAAGAATGCGCAAGCTCCGAGTTGTGCCGTTTCCAAACGGATAGAGCTCTTTCACGCAACGAAATTGCAAGGTATATACAAGGGTATACCAATATATATAGGAGTATACACTAAGGAACATACAGGGGTAGAATGAGGATTTTTTTTATCGGGGGTACCCGCTATAAAGTCCTGAGAGGGTCATGTACTTTTCGAACTTTTTCGCAGTTTTGATTATGCACATTGTTTTTTGGAGGGGACTCGAGATGGCACTAATGCGGCCTGCTGTGATCTCGGGGCAACTGCTAAACTACTGGCGGCAACTACCATGTGTAACGGACAGTAACGATGGGTGAACAAACTTGCCTTTGTAAAATCTTTCTCGTGAATTCACTGTTGTGTTTGTGCAATTTGGGTACATAATAGCCCATGAGACATTACTTCAAGCATTATTTGCTTGTCAGCTACTGTGTACTCCATTAGGTTATCGTAACGAACTTCATTCGAACCTTTCAGAATACCAGAACCTCCATCCACTTTACTCTCGCACTGAAATCGCCGATTTCGGTAATGATCCAAGCAGGTACGGAAGAGCTGTATGACATCAAACGTGATCTGCAGAAGGGAACATTCAAGTACACCGAGTCCCAAAAGGCAGATGCTTTTTCATAGCTGTACAAGTGACCACTGTGGCCCACCTGGCAACATTTTGCAATGCCTATATACTGTGACACAGCAAAAATGTATATTGAAAACAGGCAGAGCGCATTTGTACCTTCACTTGTAGAATTGCCCACTGAAAATCAGTATCTGACATTTCACACTTAGAACTTGAATCAGTAGGTAGAGAAATTGACACTTCTACATAAGGGGTAGCATAGTACATATTGCCCTTAGACTGCAGGTATCTTGCCATGAAGACTAACATTCTTTCAAAATCACACCTGAAGCCTTCCGTGTTGAATATAGATCTCCATAGCATCCATTTTCAGAAATTTTTGTTTGAACCTAAATTTTGGTAATGTATCGTTGTGTCTTAGCAATGTATCGTTTTATAGGTTACAAATGTCATTCATAGAATAGTTCGTTAAAGAGCTAAGTGTTTGTCACCATATATAGCATGGGAAGTGCTATTGCTCAGAGAAGTGCTCCATGATTTGAACAACAGAGAGCACGAATTAAGAAAAATAATACAGAATGTAGTTTTTTCAGCAAACCTCAGCAACCACAATTTATTTTTGAAACAGAAACATTGCGAATCATCACGACAGCAGAAGCACTTTCAGAAAGTAGTTTGGGAAGCTGTCAGTCTGGACACAAATATGCTAGCTCCATGACAATTCGCACTTCACTGGGCAAAGACGACATATGATAGCACTTTGAAATGAAATCGACAAAATATTTGCGTAGTGATGCATACTTCCAATCGAACAAACCACGTAGCGACATCAATTCTCAGCGAAAAGAAAGAACACAAATAAAATTGTGGAATCATAAAAGTACTTGATAAATCTGGAGCAATACTAGAAAAGAACAATGTAAAGGAGCACATTTGCAGAGCAACAAATAAAAGGCAATTTAAAACAAACAGCATTTATAAATATTTTGATTGATGTCACACTAATAATGGCCTTGAATTAATCTATCCACACTACTAGACTGAACATTGCTTTTTCAGGAGACCTCAGCATGTCCTCGTTAAAGGCAACAAGTCTGCACCATTGTGTATGTACTCCAGGCTAACAGCAGTTGAAGGGCCGAAGACCTCACCTGTTGGAAAACATTGCCGTGTGCATGAATATGACCACTTTATTAGTCACGAAGGCTACTGGCTGCTGTACTTCAGTTATCAAGGAAAGCACGTAGAGTTACCCGATGTGCAACCTATAAACATTTTGGAACTTCAACACACAATAGTATTCACTCTACGAGCAGGGAACCCAGCTTTGCTGCCACACTGTGCTTACTATCCCCTGGTCCCTGTACATGTTTCCTACAAAATCACAGAAAATTATAGCAAGAACAGACTACCTAAAAAAAAAAAGCGTTACGAGTCAAACGTGTTGAAAGAAGCTCTTATCAGACCAATTTTTTTCATGATTATGGCCCGCCCCAACATACCCCTGCAGTCGTACTGCGCCCTTTTTTGGCATATTTGTGCTATTACAAGTAGTTAACTGACAGGGCAAAACATGCAATTCTGATTACCAAGCTCGAAAGCATATACCACCAAAACATGAAGAAGATACAGCGGACCTTTGGATGCAGTCGCCGACCATAAACACGTGGCAAAGTGTTATCAGACCACATACCAATGCTCCGGATGCCGTTCAACCAGGATGCCCGAAGCAAACGGATTCCAAAGGAGTGAGGACTCTATAGCTCACACTCAACGATTGGCGATGCTTCGGCTGAACTACTTAATTTTACAAAGAACGTGCCGAGAGGGTCCGCACAATAACCTCAAGACCGAACCAAAAAAAGCGCCGAGTCGAGCCGTGTATAGCTGAAATGAAAGTGTTGCCCAAGACGTGCAAAACACAGGTGCACACACAGAATGGAGCCTCCTTGCTCTAGAGAAAGTAATTTGTACCTAGTTGCCTATAGTTTTTCATGCAGTTTGGTGCTAACCAGCACCGATATGTTACAATGTGAACGGATGCCTCTATAATGGCTTAAAACGTGCACATGAATTTATAAATCGCACTGCAGTTGCATATGGTCATAAAATACGAGGATGATGATAAACAATTCTATACATTCTTAGGCTTGTGTGATTAAATCCACAATATGGTTCAATTATATTTGACACAGTCGCTAAAATACTACATTCAATGTGTAGCCACTGAACAGCATACTGTTTTGAGGTGCATTAGATTCTGTAGGCCTTCAGACTACCATTTAAACATCTATTTCCTATAATAGGTTGTAAATCACCGATGTGGAGGTGTTGCGCAGCAGTTGAAGTGCAGCTAGTAGCCCAGGGTAGATCCAGAAGTCGCTGGCACGTCTCACAGAGCGAACACAAGATGCAGTCTGTCACCCACTGTTCATCCACTGGTAGTCACAGCGGAGTTATGACGAACAGCAACGCTGAAGACAGTCAGTTCTCACACAAAGTGAAGTCCGAAGGGCAGACCACAGCAATATAGTATCTTGTGGGATGTATTCACCAGAAGGCAAGCTTGAGGGGGGGGGGGTGGCAGGAGACGAAGCCTTATAAACGCAGAGACGCCATGGCCGCAGTACAAGGGTATCTGGCAGATAGCCTTCGCCATCGAAGAGGCACAGGCTGGACGTGAAAGGCAATGCGGGTTCGGCAAGCAAGAGGAAGGAACCAGGAGGCGAACCCTTGTGGACACAGACACATCACGGCCGCAGTACAGGGGTATCCGCAGGATTGCCCTGCACATCGAAGAGGCAAAAGCCAGACGTAGAAGGCAATGTGGGTTTGGCAAGCAAGAGGCAGGGAACAGGAGGCGAATCGTTGGGGACTCGCACACAGCATGGCCGCAGTACAGGGGTATCCCGAAGATCGCCTTGCCCATCCAAGAGGCACAAGGCGGACGTAGAAGGCAATGCGGGTTTGGACGTAGCATCCACTGGATGGGAAAGAAGGTCGAGAAGCTATAAGAACACCTAGATTTCACAATTAAATGTCGTCGACAGACACAGAATATGCACAATAATGAAAGTTCATGGTGGGACAGAATATTTGGCAATGCCGAATAATGGCTTGGTCTAGAAGTTGACAATAGAACAAGATATTTTTTATTTTTCAGTTGGTAGAAAATTCTACGCGACATTCGTAGGTTGCGAGATTCTATTGCACTGAAAGAGATTGATTTTTTCAGTCGATTTTATTCATTCGTTTGCTTTCGTAGACACAGGGTTAAGTTTCACGTCACCGCCTAACAACAACAGCTTCATTACGTGCACACATTCACGAATCCTCCATGCGACAACATTAGAAGAAGAAAGGAACAGTAACTTGACGTTACTAGAACGCTTAGAGTACAAAGATTGACGAGAGGTAACCTTTATAAAAAAATGCAGAAAAACATTGAATGCGTCTGCATACTAGCCGCTCTTCCAGGCCCACTGGCGAAACAGGTAGCGGGTCTTCATTTCAAAGCACAATGCTTCGGTCGAGATGCCATCTTAGGACACGAAGAAACCGGAACAGGCGCGTCCACTTGAAATTCCGGCACCCGACAGAATGGCTGATCGCTCGGCGATGAACTGCGCAGGTGCAGTTGTTCGGGGGTTTCCATGGCTGTTGCACACGAGTGTTATAAGTCCAAGCCGGCTGGCCGTAGTACCTATGGGAAAATTCGGAAAAACATTGGACGCAGTAGCATAGTAGCCGCTCTTCCATGCCCCCTCTAGCCGCTTACGCTCTGCGCATGCGCCGATAGAGGCTCGCGCCACACGACGCTTTCTGTTGTTGTTTGCCAAAGCCGCCTAGATTACTCTCGAACCTGGATTTTCACAATTAAAACATAAAAAGACACCAAATAGCGGAAAAATAACGAGTATTGAAATAAAGTGAGTTTCTTAGTTAAATTCACTACACCAAAGAAGAAATTGAACGTAATACACGTGAAAGAAGAAGAGACGAACAAGATGACACTGTAATCGATGCGATCCACCGCTATTTTCCAAATATTTCCGATAACAGTTTTGTAAAACAGAATATTAAATTATTCCTTTTTCTAGCCTTTGTAGCTTAGGGTAGTTGGGAGCAAAAGTTTGAAGATCTGAATGTACATATAGACCATATTTCAAACAATATGATCCATCCAATGCTTGATCGACCCCCTAAGTGGGTAGGTTTCAATCATCCAATCATCATCGTCATGAATAAATGGAAGAAGACACCAGTCTTTCATTCGCTTCTGCTTCTTCAACTAAGAATCACTGCATAAGAAAAAAAAGAAAAACTGGCAAAATGAAACAGATTCAAAAAATAGAGAGAGAGAAGTATGTATGAACAGGCGTAAGCACGCTCAACTCGAATGCTCCGCCGCGTTATAGCGGCTCCGACCTTCCGTTGACACGAGCGCCGCCAAGCGTTGTACCTAGCTAACATGTTTGCACCAGCTAACAACAGGACGGAGCGTTGGTCGACTTCCTTGGAGAATTTATCTTTTACTTCTGTTCGGAAGATGGATCGAATGCACTCACTTGGTGGGTGCGCTTTTGATACTTTTTGATCGAGGCAACCTTCTCACGCGCGCCCATGAAATTCATTACCGTACGCTTATCTCGGCAATGAAGCATTGCATGCGACAGCTCAAGCACTGGGAGTTTGAAATAGTAGCTGCCGTTGAAAAAAAAAGCAATACAATAAAAAAGCAGAGCAAACGCACGTCCACCGCAATTCAGATGTATTCACTGCGCAACTTTAAAAGAAGCCGTGAACGTACGCATCGTAGTTTAAATCGCGTTGAATCGTCGTTGAATCAATGAAATGGTTGAAATCAGGAAGGAATGTATATGGGCAGGGCACGTAGCCTGTAGGCAGGATAACCACTGAATATTGACGGTAACCAACTGATTCCAAAAGAAGGCAAACGCGTGAGAAGGAGACAGGAAAATAGGTGGGCAGACGAGATTAAGTTTGCAGCTCTAGCGGGACAGCAGAAAGTACAAGACAGGGTCGATTGGGGAACACGGGAGAGGCGTTTGCTCTGCAGCGGGTGTAGTCAGGCTGCTACTGCTGATGATGATCATGATGATGCTGGACAGCGAATAGCAAGCGAGCTTTGACGATGACTAGCACTGTTGATGATGATGGTAAACACTTTATTTTGTTCCAGAGAAGAATGTTGGGCAGGGTGTAGCAAGCGAGCCTGGAGAATGGCAAGCACTACATTTTATTGTAGCGGGCCTGATACTGTGACTGGCGAGTGGTCGCCTCACTAGGACAGGGTCGATTGGGGAACATGGGAGAGGCGTTTGCTCTGCAGCGGGTGTAGTCAGGCTGCGGTTGCTGATGATGATCATGATGATGCTGGGCCGAGAATAGCAAGCGAGCTTTGAGGATGACGATCACTGTTGATGATAATAAACGCTTTATTTTGTTCCAGCGAAGAATGTTGGGCAGGGTATAGCAAGCGAGCATGGAGAATGACAAGCACATTTTATTGTAGCGGGCCTGATACTATGACTAGCGAGTGGTCACCTCACTGGGACATGGTCGATTGGGGAACACGGGAGAGGCGTTTGCTCTGCAGCGGGTGTAGTCAGACTGTTGTTGCTGATGATGATCATGATGATACTGGGCAGAGCAAGCGAGCTTTGAGGATGACGAGCACTGTTGATGATTATGATAAACACTTTATTTTGTTCCAGACCAGAATGCTCGGCAGGGTATAGCAAGCAAGCATAGAGAATGACAAGCACTACATTTTATTGTAGCGGGCCTGATACCGTGAATGGCGAGTGGTCGCCTCACTGGGACTACGTTGCAGGGACGTTTTTACACATTTCTCTTGACGCGGCATGTTTAACACAACGTTATCCGTAACCTACAGCCTATTTTTGTGCTGCCTGACGTGCGACTTCATGCAGCCCTGGCGGAAGTGGCCGTTTGTTTTCTCGGAAAAACCGCACGAGCTTCCTGGCACGCACGTGGTCGTCGGGTGTGAGGAACGTGCACATCCTGTCTGTCTTATCGACAAGATATTGTCGAGCCACGAGCCTTACGTGGCGCGGATGGTCGTTCGAATGTAACGTGCGGTCGCAGCTTACGACGAAACGAATGTTGTCCAGCCCCATGGCCCCCTTAACCACCGCGGTCACCACTAGCACGGGCACCTTGCCAGACCGCAATGCATCCAACGCCCACTCACGTTCTTGTTTCGTCTTCTTACCCGTCAATACCGACGACCGGCAGGCCCTGATAGCGCAAGGACCATGCGATATATTCTACCATTTACTGCCTGTATACAAATACGATGGTCCGGTAACTCTCGTCGCCGAGAATGTTCTTTAACAGGGTGATGATCTTGTTCGGCTTTCTCGCAGACGATGGCGCTATGCTCTACACGCCGATTCTGCTGCTCATCTGTCACCGCGCCGACGCTTACGTTGACGACATCTTTCGTAAATTCCCGGGCTAGCTTCCACGACTTCTTCGTTGCGCATGTCAGCCTCACGAGAGTCTGGCGATCCGGACGTATCTATTCCACGACGGCCCGAATATTTATGCCGAAGCCCATCTCCAGCGTGCGGTCCGCCTCATCTATAGCGAGCGACCTACAGCGGCCTAGATCGACCTTCCTTTGCTCGATGAAGGCTCTGAGGTGGTCTGCGGTCACGACGCAAATATCAACGCCTTCCTCTAGCTGCGGGTTCTTCGGTTTGCAAGACAAGAGATACATCGTTCGAGTCCTGAATCCCTTGCTAAACTTCTGAACAAGTGTACGAAACTGCAGAGCCAGCTCCAGCGTCACTGTCAGCACTAACACCGTTGTTCCGCCATCTTCAAGTACAGACCACTGGTGTTGTGCGTGGGTGACGGCTGGAACGAGTAACGCCAGCGACTTCCATTTGAAGGTTGTGCAATCAATGACAACAAGGTCTCTACCACTGAGCGCTACGGGCCAGCACTGGGCCTGCAATGCGGTCAGAGACCAGCTCGAGTTGAGGTTATCGAATGTCTTTGCTACAAATTCTGGGAGGCCGGCTTCGTTCACGAGAAATATTGGCTTGGGAACACTACGTCGTGTAGCGGTAATCTTGCTGGCTTCCCGGTAGGCATCCACTTCTTGACGCGATCTCTGCGCAGTCCTGGTATGTTCTCGATACATTTTTTTCCGGTCAGTAGGCAAGCGAATGTTGCTCCAGTCCGGCAGGCTCCGTGTCTGTCGCACCTGTCGTCTCAACGTTATCTGGTATGGGCGGTACCGCATTGCGATGTGGTCCCCATTGACCAGTCGCGGTGGGCAGTATGGTCTTCCCCCGTCGTTATTTTTCCGAGTTGAGCAGATGGTTCCGGGGCGCCTTCATAAAATCCAAAGCCTTGAGGCAAAAGGCACCGTGGTCGTTTGTTGAACGCCATGATCGGCCACCAGTGGAAATGGTGCGCCGGGTGCGTTCATGGTATCACTGGGCGTTCACCTGTGCTCAGCATTCCACTGCCCAGGACTTCCCGGCTGCCTCTTCGGACTTGCAGGAAGAAGAAGAGGACGATGATTATGGCCTTTATGTATGGCTCACACCAATTCTCGGTTATTGGCCAAGGAGGAGGCATAAACTTTATTTTAAGAAACCAGGAGGTTTAGGTGGCCGGGCCTAGGCCTCCCATGAGGGGACGTCAAGGGCTTGCCTCGACGCCGCGTCACGGGCGTTCTGGGTTGCCCAGGTTTGGCCATCGAAACGAATAATTTATAGATAGAAGTGATCACATATGTATTGACTAATGACTTATTGGACGGTTTGAATGGAAGAAATATTTACTGCAATTCATCAAAGAGCTCGTACCCGAGGGCCCCCACTTCCTCGTCGTTCAGTTCTCACCCCTTAAAAGATGTTTCAGGCAGGTTCGCCCTTGTCACGAGAGCTCGTGACAAGGGCGACAACGCAACATGGAAGGACACAACACAACATGGAAGGGTGGGAGGCAGCTCTGCCCAGCTCGATTACGAAGACCTAAGAGGCCCCCGTGAAACGTGCGAGGACCGCTGCCCGCGCCAATGGGATCCCGGAATAAGGATACCACTCACCTATCTACTCACGCAGAAAATCATAAACGTTTTATTCTCTCTCTTTCTGTAGAAAGATTCCTAATTGAACCAAGGTGGTTTTGATGGCAAATCCCTCTATGAGTAAAATTTAATTTCTTCTAAACATTTTATAATTCAATATACTTACAATTCATATGTGGTCCCCTTCGAAGTACACGTTTCTTGGCCAGTCCCCCAGAGCCTGGGTGAGCGATACATTTAGGCCATCATCAAGAACACTTCTTGGCGCGAGCGAGCGCTTGTTATGCTTCTTTTGGCTATGGTATATGTTTTGCTTTCGTTGATAACAATATCATGCTGCTCGATAACCAAGATGAAAAATATTTCTTCTTGGCACAGTGGCTATGCTATTTGTGGCTTTGCCTGCGTTACACCAAGCGATGGCGACATCATATACCAGCCGGGCCCCCTAACTGCTCGGCACTTTGTCCACTGCTTGCCATAGTGGCCCAAGACTTGAAGTATCCGGATCTAGTGTTCGACCTAACTACGTTTTGTCAGTAATACTAAGCTTTTGCTCAATACGCGAAGATTTAGCTATATAATCGCACTAATTATATGGCTCTGCTTGGCGAGACAGGTCGCATGACTATCTGCGGCGTGGTTTTCGGCGGTGATGTGTCACGTGACAATCTATTACGAAATGTTGCGCCATTATTGACACGTTACGTGATTGTTATTTTCGTGACCATATGTTGCTTGGCGTTACGCGCTTTTTAGTCCTGTGACTCGTGGGCATCGGGCTTGCCGTGTCGTGTCCGTAGTTAACGCAAGGGTGACGAAGGCTACAAGTAAAGCTCAACGCTGCATGCGACAGGGTCGGCCCAGGGACGCTAGAGTGCGGTGCGGCGACCATGATGTCCGGGCAGTAGCGATTGGCCAGCGCAGGTGGCAGCATCCGTTCCTTCTGACAGCCGAGGCACACTGTCTCGACTGGGAAGCACACAGGCTACCCCTTTTGGAAAGCGCAAGCCGGCCTCGCGCACCGCCACTGCGCAACCCTGTGTTCGTTTGTGTTCTCAAGAGGGCACGTGCGTTTTTTTTTCTCTCTCAATACCCCTCTTGCCCCGATTTTCCCACCTCCATTGCTGGGTAGCAAACCGGATGCCAATATCTGGTTAACCTCTTGGTCTTCCTTTTTCCCTCTCCCTCTCTCTGCCTAAGTGGTAGAAGGTGATCGTAGCCTCCACCACCATTCTGCGGCATCCCGTAAAGTCAGCGGTAAGATTCAAGCCGTCACGTACGCTTCCGAGACACCAGTAACTCTGGCGTAGCTGTTGCCATCTGTCGGCCATTGATTTTGCATCACCGTGGCCCGTATACGTTTGTAACTCGACCTGCGCTCAGAGCTATGGCTCACTCACCCTAGGTGGCTCCTGGGCCAAAGTGATCACGCAGTCCATGGCCATATGGCACTGCTGAGAGACACGCTGAAATGTGCCCGGCTGCAGTGCCAGCTGCTGTTCCGCCAGCTGGAGTGGTGAATACGCCTTGCCGCCGGTATAGCAACATTGTCCCGGATTGGAGCTGCTGTCCGCCGGCCTGTGCCATATTAAAAAAAAAAAACATCGTGCAACAAAAATTTCACCGAGAAAAAGAATATATTTCCGCACTTACCCCACGGAAAATCGGCAATCAAATCAAAAGGACTGGACCCACGTCCGCCGCGCTATTTCTATGGGCGGGCGCAAAAACAACATTGGACACGATCTGTGAGGCTTGCTGCGTACCATTCGTAGGTAAAGCAAGGGTGACAGAGGCTTCAGTTCAATACAGACAGCAATTTATCTTTGCACTAAACGCGGCATACGGCAGGGTCGGCCCAGGGACGCGAGACAGCGGTGCGTCGACCGTGATCTCCGGGCAGCAGCGTGTGGCAGCACCCGTTCTTCCTGGCAGCCCAAAGCACCTCTCCACTGGACAGCCCACCGACGGCCCCTTTTGAAGAGCGCAGGTAGGCCACGCGCACCACAACATGCAACACGTGATGCTATCTCTGGTTAGCCGGTGCACGGTGGTTCACACAGACTAGATGCCGTGCGATTATAGTTCCGCGAGTAGTGACGTGACGTTGCATGATATCAGTCACGTGGAAAGTTTTTACGTGTTATCCCCCATATAGTTTTACAAGTAGATTGTTTAATCAACCGTTTACTATAATAAGTGCTAGGGTACAAAATGGCGCCAGTCCCGCAATAGCCAAGAAGTGGCATTGCCTTCATCCTCTTTCATACAGCTACGCTGCTGCTGCCGTTCTCAATCACGTGATGTTACGCGATTTTAGTCATGAGACTCGTTATTACGTGAATATGAATTGCGTGACTAGCTGTTAAGTGATTTCACTACTGTAGTTGCTACGTAACCTAACGTGATCTTTAGTCGCGTTAAAGTCTCGGGCAGCCTAGCTATTGTATTCAGTTATCGCAGCTCTCGACAACTTGGCGCAATTGTTGTGGGTGTTAAGTAAAAGTTAAAAAAGGACGAACTCATCAAGTTCCCATCCATGGTGATCATAATTACTGCTAGTGCTACCGCGCGCACGCAACGAAAAGCATGAAAAGCTCCACTCGTATAAACAAACAAAAACAAGCTCAAGAAAATTTCGATGACTATACGCTTAGCTTTTGTCACCATTTTTCTCCACTCATCCGCAACACCAACTGTCTTAGCATTGCTGGATTGCAGGCTCACACACACACACACAAAAAGAAAAAAAAAATATGGTAAGAGAAACAAGAAAGAAGAAGATATCCGGCCGTATGTCATGAGGACTTTCCCCACGTGCGTAGGAATCATTTTCGTTTGCCTATTTTTTTTCGGAAAACGTGTCCATTACATAAAAAACTATTAAGTTATGTACATTTGAGGGCGAACCGACATTTCTTATAGGTGTTTTAATGTTCGTATCCTAAATCTCCATTCTAGACCACTCACTTCTAAGCCAATCCCTTACAGTGGGTGTGAGCTACAGTTGAAGGAGAACAAGAACACATTCCACGACGAGGGAAGGCAGCGCGCCGTTCATGTAGCATTCGACGACGAGGTCTACTAAAAGTGAAAGCCGTAAGTTCACCACAGCGGCAATGTGGGCCTGCAAACAGTCCATCCTTGCGAGCGATAAAGAGTGCACTAGAAACAGGAGCATAAGGAAGGCAAATTCAAACACACACACCCACATCATTGCTGTGTGTGCATATGCACTTTTTTGTGTGTGTTGGTGTAAGTGCGCACCAGTCTCAAGGGCACTGTTCCATCCGACTCTAAGCACAAGGAAAAAAAAGAGCCTCCACACGTTGCATTGGTCTTTCGCCTTTGTCAAAGAGCCGTGGAAACTAGCTTCTCTTCAAAGCACATTTTCTTTCTTCTAATGCAATTATTTATCTATAGCAAATACGATTTCTTGGTCCCTGCTAAAATTTAACATTTGGACCGGAGGATCAATTACAGCTGCTATAGTCGCATTATTGAGGGAGGTGAAATCGCTTAAGATCTCTGTACCTTAAGCTGCACGTTAAAGAACCCCAGGTGGTCAAAGTTTCCGATGGCCCCCACAACAGCATCTATCATAATCATATAGTAGTTTCGGGACGTTAAACCTCAACAAATATTATTAATCTTCAACAGGATGACATCAACGAGGCCACCGTTGCCTACAGCCCCTTCAGACCAGCCAGCTCAATCGCAGGTTCCTCAGCCACCCGTGCAGAGTTCAACATGGGCGGACTTTCAGGTACGTACTATTAAACTTTGGCTTGCTTTGATTTGGCGTAGTTTCCTTGATAAAGTTTTTTTTAGAAGCAATGGTAGCGCGGGTCTCTTAGAGGTTCGAGTGAGGTGGCGTGTAAGCATGCGAACGGTGGGAAACAGTGATGCTTTGAGCAAGCTGGTTGTTCATATCGAGATATATTAGTTGGAGAAAAAAAATAACGTTGACAAAAGAGGAAACATGAGATAGGAAGCGCAGAGTGGTACGGCCAAGCTGCTCCAAGTTGAAGTCAGAGATATTGGAAACATGCGATAAGGCCGGGCAAGGCTGGGTTCACAATGTCGAAGTGTAACAAAATGTTGCTGCGGCTAAAAAAAAAAGAACTCATGCTCTCGTATCGTGCAGGAGTGTCAGCGATTATGCACAGGAAATATTTTCGCTATGTTTATAATTTCTTTGCCACGTCTCCTTTATAATCTGTTTTCCTCAGTAAATTGGAGCTGGCAGTGAGAATTTTGTGTATGGTTTCTTTACTGTCCATTTTTTTTTTGGCGCTCTAGATATCCCGTGAAGGTGGAGAGTCTATTTGCTCCTAAAGTTTACAGCCACGTGACCTAAACGTAAACATCATGTACGACGTCACAGGTAGACCAGCATGTTGTCGTCGACCCTCGTTTCGCCACAAGTGATGCTTGCAAAAGGGACAAAATTCGAAGCGGCACGGCGGAGGTTACTGACCCCGGTCCAATATGGGCGAACAACAACGATAATGACTCGGCTTTAACAGACCAAACCTACGATACGATTGTTGAGAGACGCTGTAGTGGTGGAATCCGGAATTTTAGACCACCTAGATTCTTTTAAAATGCACCCAAGTTTGAGTACACCAGCCTCAAGCATTTACACTTCCATTGAAAATGCGGCCAGGATTAGATAGCGCGACCGCTCAGCAGTCAAGTGCCATTAGCACTAGACCATTGTAGCGGGGACACCGTAGCGGGTTAAAATCTATTAAATCACGTAAAATAGACGTTTCATTTTGCCGTTTATGTTTTTTTGTTAGTTTGCTCGGTTATACGCTTCAAAAAACTAACGACGTTGCAAGCTCACAATTCTTCCTGCTTCTGTTTAAGCTGTTGCTTTGCCCCAGAGGGACGGTTCAGTCCCTTTGAGCACAAGCTCTGTTTTTTTTACATACTGGCGTATCCCGCACCAAACACGTTCCTTCATTAAAAACATCATACCATTTGCAGGTCCCGCCTTCCAGGCGCGTCATGGTAGCTCCCGTGGCGTCACCTATGGAAGTCGTAGCAGCAACGCAGGCGCCGTTTCCACACCGACTGTCACTGGTGCAGGTTGCGGCGCAAGCGGCCGCGGGCCCAGTCTCCGCCAGCATACCTCAATCACCCGCGTTTCGTTTCAACATGGCGCGGAGTCCAGTTCCAGCTGCGCCACCGGGGAGGTAAGCGATCAATTTTGATAACGAAGCTGTTAGTCGCAGAGTTGGTCCCGCTTCCTTGCTGCGTGGCAAGAGTGGGACTCGACTGAAAGGAGATGGCTGTGCCATGCTAAAGGTATGTGCAGACTACGCGCATAACATGCCGATCCTCCACAAAAAGCGCAAGCGTAAGCGCAACAAACGCCACTACAACGTTCAGTCTGCAGTTGTATCACTCACTCGTCTTTAGATAGTCATATACTACTTACGATGTCGAGGGAGGCCCAACCCAGACGACCTAAGCATCACAGCCGATTACCTCAGCGACTGTAGATGGGGTACGGCTCTCCAGTTGATGACGTAAGATTGTAGCACACTACCATTGTTGCAGGCTTGTGTGCATCTGCCATTGAGGAATAAATGCCACAGACTGCTACAAAAGCTGCAACTGAATAGAAAAACACTGTCAGACCTGCTCACGGCAGCCGCGATGTCCCTCGTTAAGGCCTAGAGAGCACGCGTGCAGGAGCCTGTGAATCCATTGCCACCATCGTCTCCTCTTAGGAGGTAAAACGTTCTCGGCAGACACACACACACAGAAGGACCAAAGTTTCTTCGTTAAAGCATTCGAAGAAAGACTATCATCTTTAAAACGTCAGATACTACTTGAGATGTCATGGGAGGCCCTGCCCAGATGCCCATAGCATGGCAGTCTAACACCTCAGCGACTGTAGACGTGGTTAACGGCTGTCCAGTTGATGCCGTCAGACTGAAGTAAAGGTCCATTGCTGCAGGTTTGTGTGCATCTGCAATTGAGGAAGAAATGCCACAGACTACTACAAAAGTTGCAACTGAATAGAAAAACATTTTCAAACCTGCTCACGGCATCCGCGATGTCACTCGTTAAGGCCTAGAGAGCACGCGTGCAGGAGCCTGTGAATCCATTGCCACCATCGTCTCCTGTTAAGAGGTAAAACGTTCTCGTTAGACAGACAGACAGACAGACACACACACACACACACACACACACACACACACACACACACACACACACACACACACACACACACACACACACACACACACACACACACACACACACACACACACACACACACACACACACACGCACACACAGAAGGACCAAAATTTCTTCGTTAAATCATTCGAAAAAAGACTATCGTCTTTAAAACGTCAGATACTACTTGAGATGTCAGGGGAGGCCCTGCCCAGAGGACCATAGCATGGCAGTCGAACACCTCAGCGACTGCAGACGTGTTTAACGGCTGTCCGGTTGATGCCGTCAGACTGAAGTGAAGGCCCATTGCTGCAGGTTTGTGTGCATCTGTCATCGAGGAAGAAATTCCACAGACCACTACAAAAATTGCAGCTGAATAGACAAACATTTTCAGACCTGCTCACGGCAGCCGCGATGTCCCTCGTTAAGGCCTGGAGAGCACGCGTGCAGGAGCCTGTGATTCCATTGCCACCATCGTCTCCTGTTAGGAGGTAAAACGTTCTCGGCAGACACACACACAGAGAAGGACCAAAATTTCTTCGTTAAATCATTCGAAGAAAGACTATCGTCTTTAAAACGTCAGGTACTACTTGAGATGTCAGGGGAGGCCCTGCCCAGATGACCGAAGCATGGCAGCCGAACACCTCAGCGACTGCAGATGGGGTCAACGGCTGCCCGGTTGACGAGCACACGACATCTTCATTTCAGAGGAAGAACAGAATGTGCAGGCGATGATGTCATCGGAAGGACTTGGAAGTATGTAGTGCGGACGCACACGTACTTTCGGGTCATGAAGTGAACGGATGTAGACGTCATTTGGATGGACGGCGCGCCCCATCTTCAATCGTTTCTAGTAAAGGTGAACACTCGCACCTTCGGTCCGTTATTCGACACGCACCACCACCTCTATCGTTCGGATTTGGAGCCGTACAGTGGCCGCTAAAAGTTTGCTGACCACGGGAACGCGTGCCATCTGACGGCTGCCTGCGAAGCTCAAAAGCACGCACTGCGCACGCCCCCCCCCCCCCCTTTTTTTATTTACCTACCAGCCTGGTCGTGTACGCTAGAAGCAGTGAATACCCGAACGCTAGAAGAAGCGCAAGGTGCAACTCCGGCTGTCAGCGCGCGAACCTTATCACAAAGGTCAATTGTCGAAAAACTGCCGCGGTATGCACGTTTTCGACGGAGCAGAGTGACCAAGGCGCAGATCGCGGCGCGCAGCGTCCACTGCCAGTACAAATTACGCGTTTTCGTAACGATATCATCACTGGGTGTTTCCGCGGCGACAGCAAGAGTGATAACTCGCGCTGCTTCTGGCGTTCTGGTGCGCGCGCTGTTGAGAAGAGGGAACGAGTGGTCTGACAGGTAGAAAAGGGTTCGCGCGTGCACATTGCGCGTTCTCGAGCTTTACATTTACAGGCAGCCTTCAAAAGACGCCTCGAATGGTGCTGTATGACACCCTATCGTGATCCGCAATATTTTGACCACCACTGTGCGCTATGCGAGCATCCAGTGTACAATGCGCATCCCAAGTATAAGCCGCAGTTCATAGACATGCAAAGGCACTGTCTTCACCAGTCACCGACAAGCACAGCACGAGAGAGTTTGTCAGTCAGGCTTGGCAATCCATTTATTCCAAGCAGCGTAAGCAAACGCAGATGCAGCGAAACACGATAGTCCAAACGAAGTGACGTGGGCGCTGACGTCAGAAACAGTGAGCAGGCGTGAAATTATCTAGGTGGCGTTGCGTGTGTGTGTGGGGGGGGGGGGGAGTAGGAGTGTTATTTTATTGTTTGCAACGGCTGTAGAAGTGTGTAGATGGGCACAAGGAGCCCAACACTCCGCGTTCAAAGATGAGGGACTGGTTTCCGACTCTCCTTCGCTTGCCTTCCAACCAGCCATGTATTTTTGCCATTTTTCTTTTATCTTAAAAACACGTCTACAATGCAGCGCCACCTCCATTTTATCGATGCTAGATGCTCCCGATAGACGCGGTCAGCATCCTCTCCTCTAGCCCTTTTCTGCTCTGGCGCATCGCTTAGTTTTCGCGGGTGCTTTGCGGTCATGGGCCTCTAAAAGATATTTATTATTATTATCATTATTATTATTATTATTATTCAGTGCCTCAAGACGGGAATAATGCTAGACAAAAAAAAAAACGGATGGGCGGCTGCCTGGAGATGCAGTGCTGGAGACAAATGAGGCGTGATATTTCGCATATAAGGACCTATCGAGAGCATTTACGCTATAAACATGCCGCGATTCACTGTTACGCTTATTCGAAATGCGCATGAGGAGAAACACCAGGAGAGAATGTGGTGCTCGTTTCTTTTTGTATTTTGTGAGGCTGGTAAGGGTCCCTTTAAGCAGCGGAGTGTTAAAGGGGCCATGACAGTTTTTTGAAAATTCGGTGTTTTCAGCGAAGAACAAAAGAAGAGGGTCTTTTGCGTGTTCACATAAGTAAATTATTGAGTAAATTACTTCAGTGCCGAATAGTCCCTAGAGGTCGCCTGCGATAACACGAAATGGAGAGGAGCCGTCGTGTTCTAAAAAAATTTCAGTAAGAGCAGATTTAATCTCATCGCAAAGCTGACATAGCTCGATTGCACACTCAGTTGACCACGGAACAAAATCGCCAGCCGGAATGCAGACACTCGCACAGCAAGCAGCTTGTTACATCCCTGATCGCGAGAGTGTCCCAAGCCCGGTGGTGGTTTGGACACTGGAAACTGTCAGGATGCTATTGTCTTTGGCTCAGAAGTTCACTTATGAATCTGTCGGCAAACGTTTTAAATTTCGCCAGCTCGTTTTTGAACGCAGAGGGATTAACTCAGATAACGCATGTGATCGAAAATCGGGTACCATGCCGTTAGGGGCGGAGAGAATTTTTTTTTGGGGGGGGGGGGGGGGGGGGGGCACGAGCTTTGTAAGCCACCCTCCGTCTGCGTCACTGTCACGACGCCTTTCAATTAGATGTAAATCTCTGGGGATCTCTGGACCACAAGTTTTGCCCCCATTGCGACAGATAAGCCTGGGGAGAGCGAGAGCATGGATAAAGCTAAGTTGTTTAGAGTTGTAAGTTGTTAGGTTGTCGTAAAAATTGCGTCTGAAGCTTTTATACCAGATATTTTATAAGAAAACGGGAGTTGATGGTGGCATCTACTTTAAAAGCCAGATTGTATATCTCAACGCACATAACATGAACACAAAGTAAGGCCATGTCAGGCCAGGACGAACCTGTATGCAAATTTGGTTTTTATAGAAACTATCAACCAATGGAATTGTTTGACATTTGTGCAAGTGTCCAGTGTCAATGAAAATGTATTTTTTTCAACTCTGCCTCGAGGCGTTACAGCAGGGGGTTACAAAGTGGGGATTTATAAGAATAAAGAATGAAATAAGACTAGTGTGGCGACTTAGGCCTGGGAGAAGAGGGGTAGTGGTGAGCAGACGATGAAGCTGGGTATACAGAATGATAGCAAAGGCAAAACTACGAAGAGAATGGAGCAAGTGGTGTGGGGAGGAGGAAATAGGAATAGTGTGATTTGCTGTGTCTGTGAAAAGAGTCGACCGCTGGTAGCGCACACGCGAGCATATGTGATATTGGGGAGAGTGGATAAAAGGCACGCAAGGCGTTAGCGAAAGCAGAGAAAAACTTGCGCGTATGATGCCAGTGCTGTTTGATTAGAATTCAGTACGTTTAGTTGCGCATAATATTTAAAAATAAATATCCAAGTGCCGGTTTTATGCTACAGAGACGATATGTTCACAGGGATAAGTATTGATACACCTTTTTTTATTTTTTAAAGCATGCAACCTG